ATCTGAAATGTGATTCCAGAAAAATAATTGTGTAGGACAAACCCCTCTTTGGGGACAAGAATATGTGAGACATCCAGAAAAGGATCCCAATGACATCACAACTTTTCTTTAGCTGCTCCTCAGCGAATTTGAGCCAGCTTGGTATCAGAACCTTCTGCATGTGTGTTATGCTTGGGTATGGAGATGCATGAAGATTAGATTTCATGTTGGTCTGAAAATATCCTTTGGTTACCCGTATTAAGTTTAGGATTAAAGAACCCTTCCAGTAGTGTTAAAGAGAAATACCAGGTGGTATTTTTCTGATTATCAGAGTCAAGAGTCTAATGTCAAAAGGGGGAAAAACCCAGATCAGCAGCATTTCTTTTATTTTTTATAATTTCAACTTTTATTTTAGATTCAGGGGTACATGTACAGGTTTGTTACATGGGTTTATTGCGGGATGCTGAGGTTTGGGGTACAAATCATCCCGTCACATAAGTAGAAGGATGGAAACCCTGTGGGTAGTTTTTTAGCCCTTGCCCTCCTCCCTCTGCTCTCCCTTTTTGAGTCCCCAGTGTCTACTGTTGCCATCTTTATTGTCCAAGTGTATCCATTTTTTAGCTCCCACTTATGAGTGAGAACGTGTGGTATTTGGTTTTCTGTTCCTACATTAATTTGCTTAGGATAATGGCCTCCAACTGCATTCATGTTGCTGGAAAGGACATGATTTCATTATTTTTTATGATTGTGTAGGATTCTATGGTGTATATGTACCACATTTTCTTTACCCAATTATTTGCTGATGGGCACTTAGGTTGATTCCATGTCTTTGCTATGGTGAATAGAGCAGCACTTAGAGACATTATCTTACAAGACTTATTCTTGTCTGAGTGAGCTGTACATCATATATATAAGAAAATAATAGCAAACCTATACCTCAGATCTGCAGGAACTCATTCATACAAAAGCATGCAAATGCATATGCTATATATGGGGTATACATATTTTCCAGAAGCCCAGTTGTGGGTTAGGCTACACTTTAGAAAACTGTGACAGTCATCTCCTGGAACCTCAGCCTAAGTTATCCTGGCTAGGCCATTCAGCTCTCATCTTCTCAGTAACCAGAGAATGTCCCATCATTATTAAGGTCTTTTTGGACATTGATCCTTTTTTGATGACTTTCTTACCATGTATTCTTTCTTCCTCAATTTCCTGCTAGCTTCCAGGTTCCTGATCCAGTCTCTTGAATCCTGCCTCAGTTGGCCTCTTGCATAATCTGCCTGGCTCATTCCTGCCCACCCAGCCCGTAACTTCCACTGGATCCTTACTCTTGCCTGTGTCTGGCCTCTGATGGACTTACCTGGTGTTGACTCATGACCTATTTCTGATGTTACCCAAATGAGGCATATTACTACTGAGGATATCTAGTCTGATTTATTGCAGATCACTGACTAAACTTTGAGCAGTGGATTAAAGTTCCATCTTCCACCACTGTTGTACTTTTTATTGCAGTAATATCAAATTGTTTTCAGGCCTCCATGCCCCACTGTCTCCAAAAGAAGCATGTGACACCAGGATGTTTCATAACTGCTTTAATCAAATGGCATGAAGGGTTGGTTTGGGGCACATTTTGTTCAGAGAAGAGTTCTGTTCTGTTTTGTTTTGTTTTGTTTGAGATAGGGTCTTGCTCTGTTGACCAGCCTGGAGTGCAGTGGTGCCATCATAGCTCAATGCAACTTTGGTGTCCTGGGCTCAAATGATCCTCCCACCTCAGTCTCCCAAGGAGTTGGGACTATAGGCGTGCACTGCTATGCCTGGCTATTTTTTTTTTTTTTTGGTAGAGATGAGGTTTCATTGTGTCACCCAGGCTAGAGAAGAGTTTAAAAAATTCTGGTTTAAGGCCAGGCACAATGACTCCCACCTGTAATCGCAGCACTTTGAGAGGCTGAGGCAGGTGAATCACTTGAGGTCAGGAGTTTGAGACCAGCCTGGCCAAAATGGTGAAACCCTGTCTCTATTAAAAATACAAAAATTATCCGGGTGTGGTGGTGCGTGCCTGTAATCCCAATAGTAGCTGGGCAGGAGGGAGGCTGAGGCAGGAGAATCACTTGAACCTGGGAGACGGAGGTTACAGTGAGCTGAGATCATGCCACTGTACTCGAGCCTGGGAGACAGAGCAAGACTCCATTTCAAATAAATACATACATACATACATAGAATAAGATAAAATAAAATTCTAGTTTAGTTCCAGATTAATAATCAGGAAACTAGATTTGGTTCTGCTTTAGATAGATTCAAGAGAGCTTAGAAAAGAGCCTTGGTTCAAAATTGGGTTAAAAAATGCATTTAGTTCTAGGGCCAGGAAATGAGAATTGTTTCTTTTAGTTTCAGATTCATGATATTTTTTGGGTTTTGCGTGGATTAAAAGGTCATAGACACTATGAATATGCAGGCTGTAGTGACTAGGTGATGTGTCACCTGAGGGGCCGTGCAAAAGTAGGAGTAAAATTTATTTTCTAAATGATCGACTGTGGCACTGTGTAATATAAATGTTCCACAAGATTACAGTCCTGTATCCAAAGCACAGGGAGGGCAGAGAAGATGCTAACACATGTGGCGTGACGCCACAAACAACCATTCCCCTTTGGGCCAAAGAAGATCGTTGATCTTTGTTGTCCCACAGAGGGGAAACTGATTTCAAGAAATCTGTGGAACATGTGTTCTGCTCATGTCTCTGAGGACTGCCAAGAGTGGTGTCTTGCTTAGGAAAACACTGAGACCTGGGTGTTAGGGTCAAATTGACCTCTTGAAACGACTACTACCTTCTTCTGTGTGACCTTAAAACTGTCTCTTAAGGACATTTGAAGCTCCCTCAACCCCAGACACATCCCTCATAGCGTGGTATAATTAAGGAGGCTTTTTCCCCCTTTCAGAGCAAAATGACTGTTTTGAAGATCTCCTGAATAGCTGAAGGAGAACGTTGTCACTTTGGTTATTCTTTCCACAGACTGAGCACTTCCAGGGATATTCTGCAAATGTAGGGGTAGGAGGAAAGCAGAGCTTTTTGCAATTGGATTTCTCCGTGTCCCTGGGACACAGAGGACGTCTTTACTCACTGAGCGTGTGAGTCTGCTCAACCTTCGTCGCTAGCCCTGCTAGCATGTGTCAACCATGCACAGTGAGATTATAGGGACTGGCAAAACAAAGGAAGGCTCTCCCAGGAGGGGAGGAGGTGGGAGTTAGTAAAGATGTATGTGTTATACCGCAGCAGATAATGGGACTGCCTCTGCATGCTGTGTCATTACAGCTTTGCACTGAGACAGCTCAGTCACTTCTACACACCTGCCCCTTCTAAGGCAGAGGGAGGGAGAGGACCAGCATGCAGAACTGCACTTGCCCAGCGTCAGGTCTGTGCTCCTCCCCTCTCAATAAAGCCCCATTCGCCAAATCAGGCACTGGCTTTCTTCACTGCACTGAGTGAAGGGCTCCACAATCACCCTGTCATTCAATCCCTTACAGTGGGCTCTGCTATTATCCTCATTCTGTGGGTGGGGAAACTGATGCTTAGAGGTGTTAATAACCTTCTCCAGGTCACAGAGATAACATATGTGAAGCCCAAATTCAAGTCCAGGTCAAATTTTCGGTTAGAGAACCTTAGCTTGTATCCACTAGAATTATAGGATTAAATTTCCCTATACCTGAAATTGCAATGAAGTGAGGTCGTTACTCTGATGACTAAAGTGCCCTTCAGTTCAAAAAAAATTGGCTTGCTGTTTGTGGTCTTTCATTTATCCCTCCAGATTAGGGACTTGAGGATTAGGTAAACTAATTCTTTCAAGCCTGACTGTTTCCTCCTCATCTCTTTGTCCTACCTTCCTCCATAGCACTTTCTTGGCAGCATTTAGGTCTCTGTTCCTTTTGCCTCTCCTGACAGCCTATAGCTTCAGTGGGCGCTGAAAATACACTGGCTTGTACTGCTGCTTCAGGGCTCTTGCAGGAGGTGCTATGTGATATGGAGAAAGATAGATTAGAGCCGGGTAAGGAGAAGCCAGTGTGCCCAGTTGGAGGTGGGGCTGCAGTGTTAAGCACAATGGTCAGGGTAGGCCTACTGGGGACCATGATATTTGAAGAAAGATTGGAAGAGCTGTGTATGTGTGTGTGTGTGAGAGAGATGTGATGTGTCTTAGCACCAAACTAGATCGTGAACTCCTTGACAGAGGTCCTGTTTTATATTACTTGGCATTCCGTATGCTGTGTTCATAGTAGTCACCCAGATTTATTTATTAACCTTAGTGCATATGCAATTTAGTAAATTGCTACCAGGAATGAATTAGGTATGAGTGAATAGTGGGATGACTATTCTTTGAAGAGCCTCTCTCTCTTTTAAAAAATAACAGTCTTGTTCTTGTTTCCTGTTGCCATAATGTCAATATATGCTTACTGTAGAAAATCATGGAAACCCTGCAAACAGAAGGAAGAAAATAAAAATCACTCACAATTCCAGCTTTCATTATAATCACTGCCATGCATTTTGGTGTATTTTCTCTCTTTACACACACACACACACACACACACACGTATATATTTGTTAAAAAATAGGATCATACTCAGTAATATTTAAAATGTTGAATGACCTGTGTATCAGAGGCACTGATCCACTGTAACCCTTCAGTGGTTGGATGGTGGGGATGGTCGAGGGACCCTTGAGGATGGGCCAGTGCAGCAGGAGGACACTATTCACTAGTACTAGGCCAGGTTGACCATACCAGCACATCTGGACTGACCACCAGCCCTGATGGTATGTAGTTTTGTACCTTACTTCTTTTCATCTAACAAAACACAATCACAGTGTGATTACAAATCTCATAACTAAAATTTGTAATTTTAAAAATACCTTTCTCATAGATGTTAACTTTCATCGTGGCACTATAAGTATCAACTAAAAAATATCTAAATGCTTTTAATGCCTTTTGTCTTGGGCAAAGCAACCCAACAGATCCTACTTTTCCACTGTTCCCCAGATCCTAGCTGGCTCAAGAGTCTTCTTGCCTCTGCTGCAGCAGTTACTTGGCTTGGTGTGTAGATGTCTGACTGCCATGAAGTTTAGAGAGGAAAAGATGACAAGAGCAAAGTAAACAGACATGAAAGGCCGTGGATCTTGGTTGATGCCAACAGATGCCATGTCATGAAGATGCTCTGAAGGAAAGATGATGACAGGGTCTCCTCACTCTCCTGGGTCCTTCTGACTGGTGACTGTCTCCTCACTGCTGCTGCTACCAGGGCCCAGTTTGTTGCCTGAAGCCAAAAGCTGAAAGCTCACATAATCTTTTGAAGAGTACTACATAAGTAAAGTGAGTTCTCATAATGAAGAATAGCTGAGTAAACAATGCCACACCATGTGGCTACATGCGTTTCTTAAGATTAAAAACATTTGCAGTCACAGAAACAGACATGGGATAGGAAACGCAAGTCTATTTTATTATGTGGGTTTTGAAATTAAACCAATTGTTTAGAATAAAGGCGCTGAAGTTCTGTAGATTAAAAGAATGAATTAAATTTATTTATTCAACAAATATTTATTGATCATCCACAACATGCCAGACACTGAGCCAGGTGCCAAAGACAAGCATGGGTCATAGAGCTTTCATGGTGCTTCTGGGGAAGTTTATTAAACGGAGACAGAGCAGTGATTATGCTTTTCTGTATTTCATGAAAGTGAATAAGAGTATATAGTTGTTTCTCAGTGAAATGTTGATTTTCTTTATTTTAGGACTTCAGCTGCTTCTATATAAGAGAAACTTTAATTTTAACCCCAGAAGTTCATTCCAGTGTGTTTTCATGAGCTTATCACAGCTATATCACAGACATTGCAACACATTTCTGTGCTTCAGATCCTCCAAGAGGGGCCACTTTTGATGTGATGAGACGTTTAGGGTTGGAAGGCTGCTTAGGAAATTGATGCAAAGACATGTGCATTATCATATGTGGAGAGAGAATAAAATGGCATCTTGAGAGAGGTGCACATATGCCAGGTTAGCCATGTCCCACCCCACAGGGTGAAGAGCTTGAGGAACCAAGGGAGACGCTCAACCAGAGCCCGTGTCTGCTTCCAGACCATATTCTGAGCACCCAGAACTTCAGATTCCCTGGCCCAGGGTCTCCAAGTCCATGACCAGAGCCTGTGAGGTCTGTAGGTTTGCCGTTTTGAGTGTTGGCTGCTATCACTATGTGCTGGTGATACAAGCATACAAGGACCCCTCCAAGTAGGATGCAGATGGGAAAAGGGAAGGTGGCGGGACCACCACTGATGTTAGCTATGGGCCTGCATGTAGCTATGGAAATTTTCTCATTGGTTAAAAAAAATGATAAAGCAAGGTGATGCGTGTGTGTGTGTGTGTGTGTGTGTGTGTGTGTGTGTGTGTTTAATCTTTTCAAACTTTCCCATTACTTCTTAGAGTTACCCTCTGACAATGTAGATGAAAGGGAGGTGACATTTCATTAAATAGAGGATTCTGTTTATTAATATATCCTCTACAGTTAAAGAATTCTTCTGGAGGAAAATTAAGTTGAGCATTTTATTTTGTGCATCATTGTGTTCTTTGAAGCAATGGATTACATCTTAATCCTGCACACATTCTTAAGATGAAGACTCCATCTGGGAGGACTAACCTTCCACAGAAACGTCTGGGTTACACATGTCCATCCAGTTCTTTGCCAAGTGCTTAATGGAGCACGCAATTGTTGGTGAGATATACTGAGGTCTTCTGGGAAAACCTAAAAGAGAATCAGGGGATCAGAGCAGCCTGGCGTGCACGTCATTTGGGTCCAGCTTCGATCGCTCAAGCCATTTGCTTTAAATAATCACAAGTAGACACTCTTCTCTTTATGCTGTTTCTATTTTTAATTACATTAAGTTTGAAATAATGGAGGTTATTTTACTCTGCCAGTTTTACAGTTTTCCTTTGGGTTCATTTCTGTCATTGAAGTTAAAACTAAATAAAAGTTCCAGAATCCTTAAATCAAGAATCTAATGATTCTGTCCTCACGCTGCTCTGGAAAATGCAGGAAATGCACTTCCAGTAAATATTTCTTCCTAAGCCTTATGGAGTCCTGCAGCCATAATTCATGACAAACTATCTCTTGCGTTGGGACTGGTTGCAGACTCATGAACTGGCAGAGCTGACAGGTATCTGAGAGTTCATATGGTGTCATCGCCTCATTTCACAGGTGAGGCATGAGGATTCAGAGAGGGGAAATGCTTGTCCAAGGTCACGGAGCAAGTATACAGTGAGCTGGGACCCAGGACTCTATGATGTACTTTTCCATCTTCAGTTCATGCGACTGCAATGAATGATCAGGCAGTTCAAATTGTTTCATTGTTGTTTTTTGGTTTTGGCCTGAGAAACCCAAACAAAACCTCAACACCCTGCCCATCCTCTAAATTTCTGTGCTTATAACAAACCATTTTGAGTAAATTAGGAGTTCTTGGCTTATTCCAGCCTTATACCTATACTGTCAATTCTTGTTATTTGTAGTAGTTATGTTCTGTAAGGTTGCCATAAATATCATTGCTCCTAGAGGAAACAGTTAGGTTCCCGTGAGCCTCTGGTCACAACATTTTCATTAAGCAAGCAATACATAACCTTGCTTATATGTGTCTCTGCTTAAAGACACCTTATTTAATATATGTTGTTGATTTGTTAACATTTAACTCATGGCCAACATCACTGTAACTCATGCCAGAATGAGCCTTATCTAGCACATGCATTTTCTCTGTAAAGCACATCACAGCACAGCCTTCTTGTGCTTAGGAACACCAGACAGCACTTCAGCACTGTGCCTAGGGGCTGTTTTACACAGCGAAGTCACCAACAAGCACAGACATGTGAAAAGCTTGGCATTGCGTAGACTGTGAAGACGAGATGTGTTTATAGCCTGAGAGCTGAAAGAAGAAGGCAGAGCGTTGGCTTGTCCCACCTCAGCTGTGAACGTGCACATCAGGGACTCAGTTTTTTGGCCACTCCATGCCTACCTATGAGTGACCAAAAATGCTGCGAGTGTTGATTTTGGGTGTTACAAATACATTTTTAGTTGGTGAATTTGCATATACAGACTTTGTGAATAATGAGGATCGACTGTACACACAAGCTTGCACACATCACAACACATTATAATTTCATCCATTAATTTTTAGGTTTCACTTCTGGTTCCATGTGGAGCACTTTCAACCCTACATTGGTGGTGCAGTTATGCTGGGAGCCTTTACACAGGCTTCCTAAAAGTCATTCTTCTAAGTGCATCTAGTTTCTAATAGTTATGTTGCTGAAAGACCCCATACAGTAGAGCCAGGCTCCATCTTCCTAATCCCAGAACTTCACAGAGTGGGAATCCTCTTTTGGAACCACTATCCACACTCTTCTCCTTCCGATTATGCCAGTTTATTATGGGTGAAGAGGTGGGTCTGTATACAAACTTGTCCCAAGGAGACTGCTTCATACCTGCTTTTGCCCCCAGAGTTCTGTTCTCAGCCCTCTTCTTACTTGAGTCTCACTTAGGAGTGCTTGTCAGTCTTCTGCCTGACCCTAGCCAGGCCCATGACTCCCAAATCCTTACCTCTGGTAAGACCTTTCTTCTGCTCTCCAGATCTCCCTCTCCAGTTTCCTCCCTGACGTTTCTACCAGAAAGACCCACTGGGACCTCAATATGTCCCAAAGAGTTCTCATTGCCTCCAGCCCCATTCCAAACCCTGCTCCTTCTTCTCTTCTGCTGGAGGCCTTGGCACCTTGGGCCATTGCCAACCACTCACACAAGCTTGAATTTTGAGCATCATTCTTAATTGCTCCTTCTCCTTTACTCCCAGCTTCTGCTATCTTGTGAAGTTCCACAGGGTCGGCCTTTGTGCTCTTGCTCCCATATGCCTATGCCTCTCATGTGTCAGTTACATGGCTCTATTCCAGTTCTTATTGAGTGTGGCTGTCAGTGTTGCATGCCTCTGAGCCACTCTCCACAGTGCTCCCAGAAGGATCTCTTAGGAACACAAATATGACCATATAACTCTCCTTCTTTATATCTTTCAGTAACTTTCCATTGACTGCTGGATACAATTTCAATTTAATAAAGGCCTTTTATAATATGACTCCTGCTTCCTCTCCTGTTGCATCTTCTATCACCACCCATACACCAGCTACATTCTTTGAAATTCTTAAAACACCCCATGCCCTTCCTGCCTGCTTGCCTTTCTGTGTGCTCTACTCTGCCTGCAATCCTGTTCCTGCACCCATTTGCCTTGTGAGCTCCTGCTCACTATTCAACACGTGGCTCAAGGTTTGCCTCTTCTGTGAAGCCTTCCTTGACACCTACACTGTAGTCAGTTCTCCTACCTTTGAGCTTCTAGAGACCTTTGAGCAAACATAAATTATATCACTCTATTTTGGAATTTTAAAATAATGGATCTGGTTTTGGACATGTGTCTTAGATGCTTGAGGCACATCCATGAAGAAATACTCAGTAGGCAATCCCACAGAGTCAGGGTATGTAATTCCTATGACATAAAGAAAATCCAACAAATCTTAAGACTTTATGGCACCCTAGTAGCTATTATTTCAAATTTGCAGTAGACATCCCTCTTTCTTCCTCTTCCTGCTTATTAGTTATTTTCATTCATGTGGCTACACTCATATCTGAGCCACATTGAATTAATTTGACTAATACATTTCATGAGTTACATTGTCAAATACCCTTTCCGTAGTTCAGAGTTACAATTACTTTTGAGAGAGTATTGCTGATTTCATGCCTCCTTTTCCCTATTACACATTTAAATTATCCCTGTTTTTCTCCATGAAGTTTCCAGACACAGCTATGAGAAAGCTGTTCTTGGTCTCATTAACTCCCTTGAGAGAACAACCATGCTTAGTGGGCACCAGGGGACTATTGTTGGAGTCTGGGCCCAGGGGTCCCAACTAAAGGGTAGATTAGGCATTTCTGAGCTAATTATTCAAGACCACGACATTGTACCCCTACCAATGATCTTCCATTGGAAGACTCAAACTGTGCAGGTTGTATTTTGTCTGACTTTATCTCCATTTCCTGGTACAAACTGCCCTTCCTCTTGCTCTTTTGTTGTTGATTTCCTTCCTTCTCTGAGCCTCAAATTGTGCTGTAAAGCTTGTCACATAGTAGAGGCTGAAAAAAAGATCTGTTGAGCTAAATTGGAATGAATTTTTAAGCTATGTGAAGGCTAGTTCTTAACAATGGCAAATTCTTACTTTGTGTTCTCTACCCTATAAGACTTCTTTCTCATGTAAATATGCCTGTAGAAAAATTCCTTGGAAATGGTATTTATCCTTTACTTTTGTGTTTGAGCTTGTGATTGAAGGGGGTTGAAGAGAACCTGTAGGTTCCTTGGCCACTTGCTGTGGTCTCTGACATTGTAGGTATCCCAAGCTTATCGGAAGGCTCACTCTTCTGACCAGTCTTGATTTGTAACAGGAAGCTCATTCCCCAGAGCCAAACGGCACTTGCTCCAAAGATGTCTACAGGGAAATTCAGATTCAAATC